CACGATTTATCGATCGTCTACTGGCAGCGGTTGGCAGCAAGCCACGTTATATATTATTGTTTTTGCCGAAAGGTAGACTGGTATCCGGCCACACGCTCTGCTAGACAATGTACACGCTCTGCGACAAACAGTGCGGCCGCGAACCAGTCTAGCCAGAAGCACCGACGGCAATTACAGAAAAGGGCATGGCAGGTGACTGCCGTCGGTCGGGTTGGATTTTCAAGGGCAGTACGGCGATTGATAGGGGCACCGACGGCAATTGCCGTCGGTGCCGTCGGTTAATTCGAGCCCTGCATCCATCCATCCATCCATCCCATCCCATCGCACCGCATCCCATCCCATCTCATCACATTCCGCATGCCATCCCATCCCATCCCATCGCACCGCATCCCATCCCATCCCATGCGATCGCATGCCATCCCATCCCATGCGATCGCATGCCATCCCATCCCATCCCATCCCAAACAGTAAACAATAATAAAAAATCTAAAGATAAAAGACATTAAAAATAAAAATAATTAATAAACTAAAAAAATAATAAATTAAATAAATTAATAGAATAAAAATAAATTAAAAATTGAAAATAATCCATACTAGAGGTAGGTAAAGGAAAAAAAGAAAAAAAGGGAAAAATAAGTTCCCCAGCTGGGACTCGAACCCGGAATCCAGGTGTAGCAGACGGATGTTGTACTGATGAGCCCACTGCGCCATTACGTTGATACACCATGGATTCAGACGTGATGTTGTGTGTACGTACGTGACCGCCATCTATTGATCAATATAATTTTTTATGCATGTTTAACTTTTCAACTTTTTTAAATTTTGGTTTCAGCCAGAACCACATTCTGCGAAATTAACCACTGGCCCGGTATCCGAGGCCAGTAAATTTCCCGTGGGGCCAATGAAACTGGTAAATGAACAAGCCCGATGGGCCAGTGGAAAAAAATGGAGTAAATGGTATATTAATGATATTTCAGCTTCTTTATGTGATGATCAGTCTAAGAATTTACCGAAATGCCCGATATTTTGTATGAAAATTTACCGATATTTACCGATAAGGCATCATATTCCCGATCTTAAAGCATCTGTTGCGAGAATTTTCCAGTGTTTTCCCCACTTTCATGATACCTACCATTATTGCTTGAGTAACAGCAATTGTCTAGAGTAACGATAAAATGTCTTAGAACCTTCGTATTCACCAAATCCAATGAAATCATGCACGATTACAATTTTGCGTTCTGTTTCTGTTTACCGTTGCCATCTCTCGATTTTTCTCGCGGTAGCGCAAAACATCTATCACGGTGCAGCAATGCATACCACGCACCGTAGAAATCAGGTCAGAGTGTAAACACAGACGTTCATACTAGCGTAACAGCAGTGTAGTACTAATGCCACGTAAAGTCTGTTATTAGAGAAGCTTGTGGATTGCCAGTCAGATAGTAACACGGGAATGACAATGACAGAAAGTGCTCTGAATTTTGACATAAAAACTCAATAATATTTACCAAACAGAATTGCACGGCCCTGTTGGTTTTAATTATAGTTCGCTTGTTTGAGACCGGCATTTGTGATTTTGAGATCGTGACACGATAAAAATTTAATTTGCTGAGTATGATGTGGTTAAATAAAGTTTTTCTACATGCTATAACTGATAAAATCTTGGTGGTTTTTAATCGTTGGTTATAAATCAGTGATATTTCCACTGTCAGGTGAGACTATATTTCAGCTAGATTCGTTTTTTTCTGAGCAGGAAAACTCGCAATAATCACTTTTAAAGTAGAGCGAAGTAACTAGTCAACACATGCGGTGTTTGTCTTCCCGCCTAGAAGGTCCAAACTATCCCGGTTTCCGGTCCGGTTCGGTTTCTCTTTTCATAATATGATGATCATTGATTCGGGCCTGTAAAACCTAGTGTGGGCCAGTGAATTATACATTTCTACAGGCGCGCTGGGCCAATGAGGGTGGAAGTTTTTCGTGCAGACTGGAACCACCTCCCAGACGTGCTGATTCTGAAAACATCTTTAGTTTTCCTCTAGGCTGCGGAGTTCTCTAGTTGTGCGCGAACACACTAATTCGGCTGAACAACTTTATATATATATATAGAAGAGTTCAAATGTTGGTTACTCATGCTATGAAAAAAAAACACTGCAAAAAAATCAACAGAATTTCATCCCAAAAGTTATAACTCCTCATTCCAGGAAAATACTAGGAAAATACTATGCCACGCCATCACATGACGTTGCAGTTTTTCTATAGTTATATATGTCCTAAACACTATAATATAGTCTCAAAAGATGTTGGCTGATACCGATGCGACGAACGACTGCCTGTATGTATATATACATTCATGAAACGGTTTAGTTATGTCACAGTTAGCTTTTCGCATCTTTTGCATTCTAGAGTGAACATTACTACCACATTTTGTCAGCCTCACTCCTTAATTTCCCCGCAGGGATTTTACCAGACTACCCAGTTACTACAATTAAACACCGCGTAGGAAGTTCCAACGCACAGCACTGCTCACTCACCTGACAGAAATCGACTTTTCGTATTACGTCGTTGACATCCGACGAGTAGTAATCGTGGCTGAATATAAGCAGCACGTCTGATATGCCGGCTGTCTTGCGTAAGGACTCGATCAGGTAGTGCAGATAGTTTGCGCGTGTGTGAACCTGCACTACGATGATTGTGCCGTCCCACGAGAACCCGTCAAAAAGGTGTGCGTTCACGATTAACTGCTTGGCGTTGATCTCCATTATCACACGCTGGATCTCGCTAATGTCACCCGTGTGCATCACGCGTGGCATCGACGCCCATTCGGTGACGTTCACCGCGGCGACGGTGTCGTTGCCGTGACGACCACGCCCCGTCGTGCTCGTCGACCGCGCGGCCGTCAGCTCCGAGATCTGCTGCCGGGTTGCGGGTTTGCGCGAGAGCTGACGCAGACTGGCTGCATCGTCCTCGACGGAGTCGGTCCTCTGGCACAGCCGCACAAACAGGTAGAGGTGCACAACACCGACGACCACCAAGCACGTCATCAGCAGTCGCCAGCTGACGCGTGACATGTGCTGTCGCATGGTGTCTCCGTAGCTACGGTTGTCGTGCGGCTCACGGTCTCTGTAATCCGACAACGAGTGTCTGCATCACCGCGCACCTGCTGCCGAGAGCTTCAATCGTCCGGCCACCAGCAAGCGGCTAATGAACAGCAGCAGTTAATTCGCAAACTATCCGTCATGCCTGTAGTGCACAGCGGTGCTGCATGCGCACGCGAAGGCTGGCTGATCAATTCAACACTAATTACGTATATCATTAGCTGCTGCGGAGTGCGACGAGTGCAGAAATGTACCCTGGATTACTTGCGTAGTGCCACAGATTTGAAGGTCTTGACGCTTGCGAGGTCTCATGTCACTGAAATAATATGAAACAATTGCAAAATTATTTTTAGACTTTAAAAATACATACGTGTGTGCAGGGCGCAAAATTAGCACCGGCCCACCGGCATACGCCGGCAAATTATTTGGAGGGCCAGTAACATTGGCAAAACACCGGCCCTCCGAGCCGGTGGTTTCAGTCGGGTTAGCGAGTACCTACATTTTTATTTATAGCATTAATAAGCAAATAGCCTACAATACTGTTTTACCTGTCAAAGGATTTCACGCCAACATTTATCAACATTTTACAAATTTGAAGCGTGAAACATGACATTGACAAAAACACTTCGGACATCATTCACGATCTGCATAAATAGTCTGTTCAACAGCTACTACGCGATGCCGCACACTGCAACATTTTGTGGACAAGCAAAAGTCAATGAAACAGTCTTATCTTTATTTTTGAAAAAAACAAAATTTGTGAGGGCTGGTAAATTATGGTGAGGGCTGGTAAAAAAAACTGCTGTTGTCAGCCCTCTGGGCTGGTGCAAAAAAATCTGAATTTCATACCCTGTGTGTGTAATAATAAAAGGGATAGTAGAATCTAGGATTTTACTGCATACAACTGTACTTACTGTATAACAAATCATCTATACCCACACGTATTTGTTACCAGATACCTAATTCAATTGTTATAATTAATTACACATCAACGCTTCAAAATTTGAACGACGCCACGACACCCGCGACCATGCTGCCACCCCGAAAAAGTTGCGTATTTGATAATTTATTTTGCACGTTACAGACCTAGGGCTAATCACAAACGTGCAATTATATTTATACCTAAATGCTATTTAACCGAACGATATTCATTTTAGGGCAAATTTATCCATATTATAACTGAAACTATATGTCGTTTATAAGAGATTACAATCCTTTTGCTTTTAAATTAATAAATAAGAAACACCCTCGGTCTGTAGCCCTAGGCTAAAAAGTGGTTTTGCGCAACTTATCAGATTGTGCGCTTTGAGTGGCGCCACTGTTGTTGTGATCAAACTGTAGTCGTTAGTTTTAAAACATTTTTTAATAATATTTCTAATGGTGATTAAACCATGAAACTTTTTATGTAGCGTAATTTTAACCTAAATTAACTGAAAATAACCCTAGAACCTAGAGTAAACGATCCCTTTAAGTACTTCACGAGACCTGTACTACCGACGACGTATACTTGCTTAGCAAAGTTGAGACAAACAAAAATATTTAGTTGGCATCATGCAGCCTGTGCATGACGGTTAGTGTGAAAAGTGGAGTAATGTCTTGTGAATACAAGTTTACAGCGATTTATAAAGCCGGGCGCATATGTGGCGATTTTTATTGACAGTACTGTCGATAAAAATCGCCACGTGTGCACCACCCGGCACCAATACAACCATCTGTCAGCGACATACCACTGTATGAACTGTACGTGACCTGTTCAAACCACACTACGGGCGCTGCCAATATTTGATCACGTGCTTCAAATCATGCATTTGATTGGTTAATCCAAAAACTGTTGCCTGAATCCGTCGCCTGGTCAGCAGCGCACACGTAGCGATTGTTCAGCGACTCGGCAACAAATATCAAACATGTTTGATATTTCAGCGACGAGTTTCTGGCGTCAAAATCGGTGACGCCGTGCAGCGCACACGTGGCGATTTCTCGGCTATTTTATTGCTGGCAACAGAATCGCCGGTACTGTCGATAAAAATCGCCACGTGTGCGCCAAGCTTAAAGGCATAATTCGACCATTGATTATGCAATTTTAACGAATGCTACAGTAACTGGAACCTTGTGTAGTTAATAAGTACATTACCTTTTAATATAGCCAAACGCGTATTAGTTTGTCCAATATCACTGCTGGTTACTAAGAAATGTCCAATTGAAATCCGCAGTCCAAGAAATCGGTTGTTGACAGTTACAAACCGCCATGCCGGCCGTAACCGGCCAAAACCGGCGAGGCGGTGTCATACAGATTATAGTGCACCGGACATTTTCGCACGTATGCTCGGCCGTCAGTGATTTCGATCCTTGTAGTCTGAGTGCGCATTCCGTACGTTATGGTTTTACTCTTGGGATTCGGGAATAAATGAATATACGAAG